AAAAAAACAGCGGAAGTGCATTAGTCTCGCTTCCAAATGAGGATGCAAACAGTACATCGAATTGAGAAATTGTAATTCCAACTTTTGACTAGTTTTGGGTGTAACGTAACGGGAGCTTTCATTTAGAACAGTACTAAAGCGATGCACTAATAATCAGTATTTATGAATTATCAGTTGAATGTTAGTAAAACGAAGGCAAATGTCGGAAAAATATCTGGGAAGAATATATGGGAAGTCGCATACATTTCCATTAATTCGCACACATTTCTTTTCAAATATAACATGCCGAACACACTTCTTCTCGAAGTGGTTACGGTTTTGATCAGAGTGACACGAACAATTAAGCAGACAAACACTCAGCATATGTTCTGCCCATATAGGACAGATTGGACCAGTAAAACAGTACTGTTGCTTGGGTATCGTAAGTGGTACAGCAGCGCCCATACGAAGGCCGCCAGGGAGAACATCGTGGCGCAGCCATGCAGCCGTGTTTCGTCTTTTGGTATTTTGTGTAGGGGAGTAATGAGGACTGAAGAAGGTTGTATATTGTTCTGTTTTCTTTTTTTATATTATTTTTTGACCTGGTAAAGACTGGATAGTTTGCCGGCACTAACATTACAGAAGAGGCGCACAGATGTGTTAAACTCAGTTTGTGAAAGAATTGAACGAAATCAATGAAAACCTAGCGGAAAAGCCGGGCTGACGCTGTTCGCTTGTGGATGTGCAAGCCCGGCCGTGCTCGTGCGGTTCCGGCACCACATCATTTCCCGAGTTAAATGAATCGCCAAAATTACGACTATCAAGAAGTCTTTCGTACAATCTCCTGCAATTAATAACTGCAAACCAATTATTTTTTTTTGAACAATACGCCCTTGAAAATTTCGGAGAGGTCATCACCGCACGATCTGAGCGATGTGAGTCCAATCTGGATATATTACTCGTTTTTCCGACAAATGGACATACCTAGTACCAAGAAGCTCTCCCGAAGGGTGGTACGCATTTGTAGTGGATAACAGGAAGTAGCGAGTGAAAACTGTTATCCTAGCACAAAATTACATGTAATTTTAACAATGATATTAACGACTCAGGTAAAAATTCG